CCTATCGTTTGGAAAAAAAACCCTTGACAATAGGATTATCTGAGATGAAGTTACCACTACAATTATGATCCTCCAAACGATAGGACTGGTGAGGCAGCGTTCAGACTTCGCGATGACGCGCGTTCACGTGCTACAATTGCAACAGCGCTCCAATCCTACAGACGCGAACGCAGCCGCAGACGGGAACAGATCGGCACTGGCCACTGGGGTTTGGTGAAACTACCGAAGAATGTAAGCGTACCAGATTGTATGAAGGCAACATCTTACCTCCTGTGATCTTATACTCTGTCGAAACAGAAAGCGGCCAGTGCCGATCTGTTCCCGTCTGCGGCTGCGTTCGCGTCTGTAGGATTGGAGCGCTGTTGCAATTGTAAATAGCACGTGAACGCGCGTCATCGCGAAGTCTGAACGCTGCCTCACCAGTCCTATCGTTTGGAGGATCATAATTGTAGTGGTAACTTCATCTCAGATAATCCTATTGTCAGGGGTTTTTTTTCAAACTTTGGGGGCTGCTTAGTGGGTGAAGGTCGTTCCGTTATCAAACCGTTTAGTAGAAAATGCGGTTCGGCAGTGTTCCTCAGAGATTGGAACCGGTGAAATTAGTTCATTGAATGTGGAATTTTTTCGGACGAGTTCGTGAAGTAGGCTGCGTAGAACGGAGGATGCCTTGATCCACGAGATTTGACAGTAAATGATACAGTCGATATCGTTGCAATCTTTCGGGGCGTGTCAGAAGGCATAGGGTGAGCCGTTAAACTGGCCATTATCCGCCATTAGAATACACAAGCCGTGTGCGCTCATTCCACGCCTCTGCAACGATAATAACTGTACGTTGAGACTACTAGCTAAATATCCTGGTTTGCGCTCAGTAACTCACCAGGAATGTCTTGAACTACACCATATTCTTCTACTTTTCATTGTGGAAAACAATGTAATGGGAAGGGTTTTTCAGAAGTGGAGGAATGTGGAGTGACCTGAGCGCTCCTGCCAATATGATGTACAGTCAGGCTGGTTATGACCCTATTGCTGCAGAAAGAAAGGTGACACTGAAATAAACGAATGTTTGCATCATCTGTTTTCAATTTGACTGAATTTGCTTTTTCTAGCGAATCGAAGAAGAGCAACGGCGAATACTAGAGGAGCAAGTGAAAATGAGGGAATATCAAGAACATCTTGTAAGGGAACTGCAGAAGCAAAGGGAAGAACATGAAAAGCAGTTGATGGAGCAAAAGCTTGCGCTTATGAAACACCAAGTTCGTTTTTAACCTTTTTCGATTTTTCATGGTTTTTACGGGAGGTTTGCTTTCTAAAAATTACTGTTCAATGCCGTCAGAAGTGATAGTAGACTGTCATTTCTATGACAAATTCTTTCGAAAACCCTTTTTCAAAGCATGAGATACATCCCCTTTAGATACACGTTAGTCATAGCGGTTCTTTTATTGCCCGATATGTTTGTGACACCAGAAGTTCGCCCCCCCCCCTTCATTCCTTTTCAAAATCGCTTTCACTAGTGTCCTAGCAGGGCTGTCAGGAAGAATTTAATAGTCACAAAGTGGAGCTGTAAGTGATATTTATGTGGGGATCATAAAATTCCGAGATTTTGGTTATTGTACGGAACCAGTGGTATTGTTATCAGAAGATGCTGAGTTATGGGCCAAAGTTCTAACCCCGGGCAGAGTTCGAACCCGCACCGCACCGCACGCTATCCGGGCGAGTGCGCTACCCGCTTCGCCATCGGCGCCGCTTTTACACCCTCAGGCTTTTATGCTTATGCTTTAGAGTACTCACCCGTTTGAAAGGGTGAGCTGGTCAGCTGTATCGCTTCCCAATAATTTTCGTGGTAACTGGAATGCGAACTCCGGCTTACCAGGGAAGTCCGCCAACTTACCATGGAACTTTGAATGGAGACCTGGGTAGATCGATAGAGTCTAAGGTTATTTACAAATATAGATAGCAAAACTGCAACCTGCATTTCACAAGCAACTTATGAGCAGGTAAAGTTTGTAATGGTGCAGTAGGGTGGAGGCTTGGTGGTGAGCTGTGAAGCATAAGCGAGGAATCGCATACGTCAAACGAGTCGTGGTGGTTCAGTGGTAAGGCTGGACGTTCAACCTCAATTCAACGTATGCGATTCCTCGCTTATGCTTCACAGCTCACCACCAAGCCTCCACCCTGCACCATTACAAACTTTACCTGCTCATAAGTTGCTTGTGCAGGTTGCAGTTTTGCTATCTATATTTGTAAATAACCTTATAGACTCTATCGATCTACCCAGGTCTCCATTCAAAGTTCCATGGTAAGTTGGCGAACTTCCCTGGTTAAACTGCAGTTGTCATAACGAAAAACTGAAAAATTTTGAATCGCTCGGCTCCGCTTCGGTATAGTTAAATACGATGTCTAACCATACGACTGACCGGCCACCATGTTGAAGCTGTGAGTGCTGTAAGCCATTAAGCTGAGGTGGGGGTGCAGGAGCGGCCACGGTGGCGTAATGGATCGCGCAATGGGCCGAAAAGCGTGAGGTGCGAGTTGGAATACCGGCTAAGATCAAAGTGGGGCGTCAATCGGAGTCATCATAATAAAAAAATTCAAATAATGGTAAACTTGTTCCTACAAATGCACAGAGTGTTTTCAGTCTAATTTGAAATCTCTGCTACAGTAATTCTTTGTGCTCAGGAGGAGATTGAACGGCGAGAGCGCGAGCTCAAAGAGTCTGCTGAAGAAACGAAAGCTCGATTGGAGATGGAGCGACTAGCGCTGGCAGAAAAAGCTCGTCAGATTGAAGAGGAACGTTTGGCTAAAATCCAGGTAACTTGCGATTTGCTCAAATCTCTCCGAGATATTGTCCGCTTGAAGAATCAGTTTTTTTTCCTGAAGTTATTACTATAGCATTCTGTGTCACCAGACATTACTCTTTTCATTCATTGTCATTCAAAGGAAGAAGCTCGGAAAGCAGAACAAAAGCGAGCCGAAGAAGCAGAACGAAAGCGGTTGGAGGAAGAACTCGAAAGACAACGTGCTGCAGAAAGGGAACAACTCAGGAAGCAGCAGGAGGCAGAGCGGGAAAGGTTATTTTGTAGTTTTTCATCACGTTTTACTTACTACGTTACTTACTACTTACTTCACGCTATCGGAGGCAAGGAGCGTGGTCATATTCTAGGTAAATTGTAGAGAATCTCAAGCTGTTATTCAGATTTTTTTTCTAGACGTGCTAAAGAAGCGGCTGAAGAGGAAGCCCGGCGTGCTCGTGCCGCAGCAGAAGCTGCCGCTGCTGAGAAGGCTCGTCTTCAGCAACAAGCGGAGGCCCAGCGAAAACAAGTTAGTGAGCTGCTGCTTTTTGGCCACTAAATATATACTTCAGCATCTTCATGTTTAATTATCACGCCCTCCATTAGCGATTTGTGCATTTTAAGAACTTTTTTCTGAAAAGCAGGGGCAGAATTTTTCACAACTCTCGGGCTCTCGGTAGACCTATTGATCACTTATTTTAGAAATTTCATGTGCTATGTTTCTGTTAAAACCTTTCAACGGTATCGTGTAGCCCGAGGGACTACACAGCAAGGGGTACTAAATAAAAGAGAATTTGCACTTCTATTCATTTATTCACTAATTCATTTATTCATTTTACTGTAACTCTTTCTCTTTTCTCCGGTAGCTGTGGAATAGAGAATTACTTTTTCAAGAAGGCCGCTGAAGAAAGTCGTAAGAGAGAAGCCGCCGCGCAAGCCGAGAAAGAGAAGCGCCTGGAACCTGCAAAAAGTTTCGAGATTGAAGAAGTTTGGCAGGTACGTGAATAGGTTTCCCGATCCCCGGGTTCCGTCTCCTGATGTCATATGGGCTATGTTCGAAGTGCAGTTGTTTTTAGCTGACGCCGAAATTCCGCCTTGTGCAGGAGAACGACCAGAACTGAAACGCGCAGACCAGCAGCGCCTTTAGCTTTGGTTATGCATGGGCTGGTCGTGTTGCAACGTGCGCGGGTCGGGAGACGGCACTCGGGTATCGTCCCAACCTCAACCCTCCGCCCTCAAACCCCGTTCCCAACAATTAAGCACAGAAAGTGGCACTGTACTGCAGCGATCCATTTACCTCGTACATGGAGAGCACCAGCATCGACGGAGGTGCTGGCTCGTTCCAGCCCATTGGAGTGGTACAATCTAGAAATGAGCGCGATTTGTAAATGCATCGGTGTGTAGTCTTGCTCATCACTTCTCTCTCAGGGCATGTCTCTTGTCTCTTGCCAGATCATCCAGTAGTCTTCGTCGTAATTTCGTTTATACAACACTAGGAATTTGCTTCAACAGGATCTTTCTACGGGCGCTTTCAATAAATTCTCTTGCTTTTTCCTGAAGAATGGGTCTAAGCTCCTATAATTTGTAACTTTGAACCCTACTACTCTCCAATGAAATGTGAGGTGGAGTGAGGCACTGAAGCAGCTTCGTTAGAAGATGCCGCTAAAGTAGTATGAAGTACAGACCAGTTCCGGGACGAATTATGAAGACATTGAAGATTTTAATTGAAATCCCATTATTGTCTCCTTACAGGCTGCTCCGAAGCCTTCTTCGCAACCAGCAGCTGATGGTGGAAACGTAGCGAAGAAGTCCAACACGACCAAAGGTCTTTGAAACTCATATACATACCTTTTCAACCTTTCATGATGACATTTATTTGACATGCACTGACAGATTTTGAGCCCTATGTTGAATATGCTTTTTAACGTTTATGGGAAAATATTCTTCATTCCGAGCGGTGGGATTCAGAAATGTGGGACGACTATTCTGAAGCGCCTATAAGTCTTTTACTGGATGCCGGGAAATTTGGCCTTTCAAGGTATTGGGTACGATTTCTGGAGGCCGGCTTTTGTTGCAGTGTCATTGGTGGAAGGGCTGAAGAAGGGCGTTTATCCACATCCCACTCAGCGCTTCCACCAATAGCATTGGGAGTAACCACCCGCCCTCAGCCACCGTGCCCACTGATTTTAAATAAGCTTAGCTAGAGATTCTTTTCTTTGTATGCAGTGCGGTATTGTATTTGTTTACATACAGCTGATTTCAGTCGCGGCGCTTTCGAAGGAGATGGAATGAGCCCACCTGCGGCGTTTCCACCCTACTGCCTTGGGTGATTTCTTGCTAAATCGATTGCTAACCGATCACCATTGGTAAAGCGAGACAGCTGGAGACACCTTCATTCCTTCCCTCGAAACCGCCATGACTGATTGTGACGGCACTATTTACCCTTTACTGCCCCAGTCATCCGAAATCAGGCCAGTTCCTGACCGACTTTTTTCTCCGTGGGCAGAATTTGCTGAAAACTTGGCTCCAGTAGTTCGACCCGCTGAACACGAATATCGCATCCGCTTGACCCGAAACCTCCTGGCGCCCGCGCCACGGGCGCCGGCGCCAAAATACTCGAAATCACCAAATTCGCTGAAAACTTGCTCCCAGGGGTAGTTTGACCCCCTGAACACGAATATCGCATCCGCTCGGCACGAAACCTGGCGCTCGCGCCACGGGCGCCGGCGCCAAAATACTCCTGAATCACTAAACTCGCTGAAAACTTGTCAACTAGGGTAACTTGACCACGTGAACACGAATGTCACATTTATCTTGCATTTCCCACGAGTTGCGTGTGAACGCTGAGCGAGCGCGGGATTTTTGAAGAAGTATTGATCATACGACTCGTAGAGAAGTGAGGTTTTTTCATGCAAAATGGAAGTGATATTCGTGTTCAGGGGGTCAAACTATCCGAGGGAGCAAGTTTTCAGTGAAGTCTTTTGGGCCGGGCGCCAAGAGATTTCGGGTCAAGCGGATGCGATATTCGTGTTCAGCGGGTCGAACTACCCCTGGAGCCAAGTTTTCAGCAAATTCTGCCCACGGAGAAAAAAGTCGGTCAGGAACTGGCCTGATTTCGGATGCCTGGGGCAGTAAAGGGTAAATAGTGCCATTGCGACGTTATCAGCTATGTTCATAACTGTTAAACTGTTGCGCTAATCATTAACAATTTTCAGTTGCACCGTGGGTAGCTGCATCAGCGGTAGCTCCAGCAAAAGAGAAGACGTTGAAAGAGATTCAGGAAGAAGAGGAGCGGCAACTGCGCGCAGAGCAAGAACAGCAAGCTCGGCTGAGAAAAGAGGTTCATTTCACATCCTGGTTCGAGCTGGTGTGCTGTGATTTAATTGTCGTGTTGAGCCCGAAGTTCATGTGGTTTCTTCATGTAATTTCTCCTGTTACAGCAGGAGACAGTCAATATTCAATCGAATGCAACGTGGTCTAATGCATCGCAACGTCTCCAGTGGAACCAGCCAGTACAGCAAAGTCCTGCTGCAAAGACGGCCACTGTGGTGAAGCCAGCTTGGGGTGGAGCCGGTGTTGAACCGCAAAAGGTCTGTGCTGGGAAGGGTCAGGAAAGATATTTCTTTTATTTGCATTAAATATTTTTATTTATTTATAATCGATCAAA